GAGTAACTGTAATGCAAAATGTAAAGGATTTCAGTGGTTTTCTGTTTAAGGGGAAAAAAAAATAAAATACTGAAATGCTGAAAATGTGTACTCAGTACAAATGTATATTCTAAAATGTACTGTATGAATTTGTAACCCGACTGCCTCCCTTTTTTTTTTTTTTTTTTTTTTTAGTTACTAACTTATTATTTACTTTATACCTGTATGTATATATGTAGGTATGTGTATGTATATGAGTATGTATAGATGTATGTATGTATATGTATGTATGTATGTGTATATGTATGTGCATATGTGTATTGTGTATGTGTAAATATGTTTTTATGTGTATATGTGTATATATGTGTACGTGTGTGTGTGTATGTATGTGTGTGTGTGTGTATGTATATGTATATATATATATGCATATATAAAATGTAATAATATATATATATACCTGGTACACGCTTAGTATATGTTGTATGTATTATATACATACATATATAATCCTTTTTCATTATTAAGTATCATTGTCATTATTATTGCTTTTTTTTAAATTTTTTTTATTTAGTTGTGTGTGTGTGTGTGTGGGGGGGGGGGGGGAATACAGCATGTATATTATGATTTATGTGGACAAAAAAGCACTGAATAAATTACAAAATATATAAAAAAATAAAAAATAAAAAAAACATTTAAAGGCTCTGTTTGTATCCACATTAAGTGCTGCATCTTTGCCTCCACTTCATCCAAATGACATGTTGTAAAACATGGGGACTGTGGAGATAATTAAATAATTATAGTTTATTCTAAATGCACATTCTGCTTTGTTCATGTAATCATAAGAACTTGTTTTTAAAGCACAAATGTACACTTTTCTGCTCTTCAACAGGCATCATAACTGTTTTTTCACTGACTGTCTGATTTACTAATCTTATTGAGAATAAAATGTAAAAGAAAAAGCTACAAGAGTCTGTAGAGATTTTAAAGATTTTCAAACAGATTTCCAGGTCCCTCCCTATAAAAGGAGGCTCACACACTTGTAAGCCTGTTTGCACTCTGAGGAAGACCATGCTGCACCAAAACACATTAGTGTGTATTTTATGTCAGTAGTCATGCTGTAATAAAGGAATTAAAATTTGGCTTAAATAACAGAGAGCCTTGAATTTTTGTCTTTGGGAAAATTTAACACACAATTATTTTGCTCCATATTATACCAAAAAGACAAAGCATTAATCTTATGAATAGGAGTTAGAAGAGAAGAGATAGATAGAAGAGTTAGAGGAGGTACTCACAGTCCATGGCAGAGGTGCTGTTCATGTGAGGAGACCTACAGTCAGAGCTCAGACTCTCCTCTACAGGAAGTGACTCTCACTCACTCTTTTAACGCTTTTAAGAGCTTTCTTCAGCTGTTCATGTTCATAAATATTTACAAGTGTTTCAGTCCGCAAATGCTTTTTTTTATGTGTTTTTTTTTTTTTTTGTTACATGTTTGTTTTGAACTGAATCAATCAAGTTTACACGCTCTCTCATTTTGCAACATATTTACCTTCATACTTTCGCCCAGAGTAAGAGACTGTCTTTAGACCTCAGAGGAGGAGTGTGTTTAATATTGTTTAACAAGATTATTAACAATATAGCACCATAGCACCTCCACCACTTAAAAGGTTATTCGCAATAAGATCTGAACAGATGACCAGAACAACAAGGCCCACATGGAGTGGCCAGTGTAGTTCCTAAAAGAAGAACAGCACTAGGCCATTAAGCAAAAGTTTAGTGCTGAATTAAGAATATATATTTTAACAACACTGAAGTGCCAACATTAAGTGCCAACTAATGTAGCAAAATCAACTTATAACCAAATAACTAAACAACTAAATTACATCTGATTAAAGGCACAGAGAAAGGTGGCAAGGAGATAGACATGTTTAATGTCACTGTATTTTTCATATTTATGTATATAGATTGCATTGTTTATGCTTTTGTACTCTATGTTTGATCTGTCTCAGGGACTGCAGATGGAAATTAGCTCCTAGACTTACAGTTGGGTGCAAAGCATCTCTTCAGTGTTTCTTTGATTAATGTTCCTGTACATGGTCCCTGTCAAATAAATAAACTAATCATCATTCACTTGTATTGTATTATATTATAGTTATTCATTTTAGATACTACACAATGACAATAAATCTGATCTAATCTCTGCACACAGCCTATTCTCAGATAGAAAGCAGAGGCTGCCCATAAGACTTTTCCACAAGAAACAAAAAATTATGTTTTTTTCTCAGTTGTTTTAGCACGTTTTTTGACACTTGTTTTAGTTTGATCGTTTGATTCAAACATGTATCTGAACAGAAGCACAGGCCAAATAATTTGGAACATTAGTCTGTACAGTTCTCAGGGTCTTTCTCAGAACACTTGACAGCTCTCATTCACAAAGACATATGAGTAGTGAATTCACCTTGTTTTTTTGTTGTTTGTTTGTTTGTTTGTTTGTTTGTTTGTTTTTTCATACAGGTCTGTTCTGAAGTGCTAAGGGACTTTGGTCCAAACTCACTTTTAATACAGCAACTCAAACATAACGGCAAAATTCTGCAATTTGTGAGCACAAAAATCAGCAAATGATACTTTGCAATTGGTATTGTGTATTTTTATATTTTACATACAATACAGTCAGGTTTTAGACAAAAACACAGCTTTTCCAGTAGAAAAATTCATGTGTAAAGTGTCAACGCAATGGCAGACTGTACTAAACCAGTGATTCTCTGTGGTCACTAACAGAAGGACTAAAACTTCTGAGCTGCTCTGTCAAATGAATAAATGAACACAGAATACCATATGAAGAGAGTTTGAACATTCTGATAGTGAAACTTTTGGGAGATGATCGATCAGTTTGCAATCAAAAACTGCATTTTGCAGTTAGCAAAATTTAGTTTGAAAAAAACTAAAAATTCAGCTTAGAATTTTGTGTGCGCTGTTTTGCAAATGCCAATTTTCAGAGGATAAAAGTGCCAAAGCAGCAGAAAAAAACAAAAACAAAAAAAAACAAAACAATTGAAGAAACTCACAAAGCTATCTCTTACTGTACTAGCGCCATCTGCTGTTGCTTTAATAACACAGTTTTTCTCAATCACTTTGGCACTTTTATCTGTTGGAAATTGACATTTGCAAAACAGCTCACACAAAATCCCAAACAGAATTTTAGTTTTCCAAAACAAAATCTAATCTCAATAAAATGCATTTTTTCATTCAAAACGGCTTAATCATTTCCCAAAAGCAAGTTTTACCATCAAAACTCAGACTTTGATCCTGTGTTTTTCTGTGTGTCATTAAACAATGCAGCTCAGATGCTTTAGTCCTTCTCTCAGTGACTATAGAGAATCACTGGTTTGGTGCAGTCTGTCATTTGGAGTCACACTTTACAGTGAGGAATTTTGGACTGGAAAAGCTCTGCTCTTTTCTCTAAATCAATGTCTGTATTGTATGTAAAATATAAAAGTACACTGAAAAAAAAAAGTTGCTGGATTTGCGTAAAAAAGTTATGGACAGCGGTTGCACGCAATAAAATTATGTTTAGGCTTTGAAACTTTTTTCGAACCCCTCTACACATATTTTTCTCGGAACATGAACATCACTTTTTCATGTTGATGAAATTTGAAACAAATCATGCTGAATATGTATCTTATGGTACCTTATCATGAAATGTATAAGTATGTATATGTAATTTAATTGATTTAATTCTGTAAAAGAATACAAAAACAGTCTTTAGTTTTCTACAGATCTGTATTGTCTTAAACAGATTCAAACACAAAGAGCACAGGGACAGAGATACACAGTTTGGAGCTGGACAGTGTGAAGATTTATTCCAGTGAAGAAGCTCTGGTCTCTGCCTGTGGACACATGAATAACACATGATGATCACATTCTGATGATCTACTCTGTTGTACATGTTTAAATACACTTATAGCAATTATTACTACAATAATGGACCAGAACAGAATCACAAGAACATTAGAACTGTATCTGCAGAAACAAAACTCACCATGTGCTGCTTTTCTTCCTCTAAAACACAGTAACAGGGAGGGCATCTGGTATAAAGTCTCCTAAGTGCCACATCACCTTGTACAAGTACGATAACAGTTTCAATAGGAAGTTCATTTTGAAAAATTTTAAAATAATTTTAGTTGGTTTACTTACTTTGTTCATCTGTGGTCTGTGTTTTGTTGGTTCTCAAACATCTTCCTTTTTCTGAAACATCAGCTGTAACATTCATGAACTTCCCCACAGCTCCAGCAGAGCTCTGGACGTCACTCTTTGTAGACGACTCTGGAAGCAACACATTCAAATCTTAGTACAACTGTCACACTCTTGTAGATGGACAGTCAAAAACAATTTGTTTCAAGCTGTCCTTACATTAACTCTAATTTCAAATAAAACAACACAAACATGTTTTAACAATGACATCATTCTAGGCCGGAGAAGCATATAATAAAATCTTTAAAAAGTCTTACCTCCAGATCAGCTCTCATAATCCTCCTGCTCCACACTGTGTGTCCTCTGCTCCTGTAACTGTCCTGTGTCCTGTTACATTTGAATTTTCCCTCCAAAAGTTTTGGGGAGGAGAATTCCAGAGGAGGAGCCTCTCACAGAGATTATAATAAAGTCATGTTTCCTCAACCTGATTAAAACATGCAGGTCTCACATCGGCCACAATCAAGCGATGTTTGTAAGATTTAAACATGCTTGACAGAGAATTGTAAAAAAGTGATGTTATTGTTGTCAAATTTGTTTTTGCAATTTGAGCAACCCCTCTCGGACCGTTTTTTCAGTGTACATTACCAATTGCAGAGCAGATTTTGCAATATTTGATCAAAAATATTTATGATGAAGAAAATACATCAACACTTCTTTTGTTCTGTGATTTGTTGTAATGTGTTTTCGAAAGTAAAATAAGAACTGTATGTCTTTGAAAGTCTGTATGGGAGGGACAAAGGGAGGGACAGAGGGAGGGACAGAGGGAGTGTTATGTATTTGAGGCTTGTTTCAGGCTTCTTGTTTCTCAGAGTCATGAGCTGTACGGAAAACACTGTTCCACTTTGTTTGGATTTAAAATATGGGTCACTTCTTTTTAATGCTGTTATTGACTTTACTTGACTCAGCATTTTGTTTTACAGGTGAGAATATTTATGAATTTTAGCCGCATACTTCTATACACCTTTTTCTAACATATCTTATCATTTTTAATGTTGAGCCATTTATTTCTAAAGTCTAAGATTTAGATTCTCAGGTAAACACAAAACTCATTTATAGATGATGAGGAATGGAGAGAGATCTAAATCAGAACAATGTAGCTGAAAAACTTAAGAGAAAGACGAAAACAAGATCAAGGAAGCGTATGAGGGCGTAGGGTGTATCAGATTACACCACTGCACTATGTCGTTTCCATTTATCAGCAGAAACTGATTCACTGTTTATGACAATATTACAGTTCTATATTATTCTCTACAATAAATCCAGATCACTTAAAAATATAAAAAGTTAGAAATACAGTATAAAAATTATATACACCACATTATTATTTTATAGTAACAAAATGATTCATCATTAGGTCTTCTAAGAATATATAGATCTAACTCAATATCAACCAAACGTCAAATCCAAGTCCTAATATTGTCAAACTGTCTGTGTGTTTGTTACTGTTTCCTTTAGAGATTACCATAAAAGTGTTTGAGGGAGCAGATGCAGACCTGCCCTGCAACTGTGCTGAGGGCAAGAATGTGGCCACTTTGCAATGGCGTTATCTTAACCAGAGTGACAACCTGCTGATCTATAGAGGAAAAAAAATATTGGAAAAAAAACCCCCGAATCCAACACAAATATCTCCCTCCGAAGAATGTAACTCTAAAAAATGTGAGATCTGAGGACTGTGGGATTTATGAATGTTGGGTTAAGTATACAGACGACCAGGAGTACAAACAGACCATCCATCTAACCCTCAAACCAAAGAGTGAGCCAACTCCCCCTTCAGGTACAACACATGACTGCTATTGTAAATAAAATGTGCAATGTAATGTGTTGGTGGTTGATTTTAGGTTATTTTTCAGTTGGCAAGTGTGAACACTGTATAAACATATGCACAGAGGAGAATTAAAGCTACAATGACTTTGTACAAACAAACCACAGTCACACTCTGACCACCTGACCATCATGTGCTGAACTGTGGATCTATGTTTCTTTATTGTCATTTTATGAAATTATCTGAATTGATGTTAAAGGTCCTGTACCTGATGTTTACAGTCTTAAAAACATGAGAAACTGAACTAAAGTTATTCCCCTCTGACCATACACATTTCTAGTATCATTATTCACCAGCTGAGTTTATGAGTGTTTTTCAGAATTTCAAAAGAGGCCAGAGTGGAGTTTTGCCATCACTTCCTCATTATTATACGAGCCTCAGTTACAGTCTAATTTACAGTATATAATTTTGGCCAACTACATTAAAAATATCAAGTACAGACACTTTAGAATAATACAAATATATATCTTTACACTGGGGAAATAACAGGCCTCTTGAAAGTGGATTACAGATTTTCACTCTGATGTCTCTTTTCACAGATACATCGAACATTGTGGAGGACATAGTCCTCACAGTGAGAAAACACCGAGGACTTTTTTGTGGACTGGGGTTTCTACTGTTCTTTATTCCTCTAATTTTACTTCTTTCCAAAAAAGGACAGTTGTTCAAGAGTGACTCCTTCTGTTCTAAACAATCAAATAAATACTGTCCCCCTTCAGAATCTTCAAACTCAAATTCTAAATCTGAACATTCTACACTGTCATCCACAAAGGTTCTTCTTGACCCCCTCCAAGAGCTGCCACCTTACCGCGGTGGAGGGGTTTGTGTGTTTGAGGCTTTGGAAAATGTTTTAGTTTTCCAAAGCCTCGAGCCAGACCAGGAGCAGCTCAAATTTGGAGGATCGAGACACTGAAAATGGGTGGCAGTCAACTCTCCATGGAGATGTTATTGTTAAGCCTGAAATGTTCCATGGTATGACATTAAATACAATCTATCTAGCATTTATTCATAACAGGTGTTTCTATTTCTCCAAAACACAATAATCCCTTTTGTGAATAGGGGCGACTCTCCACAAATCTGAATTGTAAAAGTTTAATCTATATGATGTTTTAGAAACTCCATTGTACAAATTTGTTTGTGACTTCAAATTTATTTGATCTACCTAAATAATTTAATCTAAAAAAAAAAAAAAAAAACTACTCTCCTTTTTGTCTGAAATGTTACTGCGGCTTTAAATACTGTTGCATTTGTTATATTTCAAATATAAAATAAAGATAAAAAATTTTTATTATTTGTTTGTTGTTGTTGAATTTGTCTAATGTGCACATTACGTGACCAAGTACGTCAATGGAAAAACCCTCAGAGCAGTATTTACATATCAAACATGCTTTAAACAGAAACAACTGTGACTAAGCCACCGCAAATACCACAAACGTTTCTCTTTTGAAACAGCAAAACATTTGTGAGAGGAAACAGTTTAAACCAAGTTCCCCTCAAAAAGTCCCTTCTTCAAATCCAGCTAATAATGTTGTTTATAATGTCTGCTACTGTAGATTTTAGTAGTGATATCATGATTTTTTGATTGCTGTATAAAAAGAGAGTAGAAGACACACAATATATATTTAATGCAGAAACAGAGTTCTGGCTCTCTGAACGAGGGACTGAGTCTTAGTAACAGACAGGTTTTATACATTGGCAGTTGACAGCATGTGTAAGACTTTAGCCCAGAATTGGTCAAGAAACAGTCAAGCAACAACTGGTGTCGTAAAAGTGTGTTGTTAAAACTTTAACTTAAGCCTCAAAATATACGATCTCTTAGGTGTCCTCTAAAAAAAAGAGCAAGCACAAACTCACTCACAAATAACTGGTGTGACTATCAATTAACAAAAACATGCCAACAAGTAGTAAATGCAGAATGCTGATGAAAAATATAATACGAATATGATACAATACAATAGAAACACCCAATGAATTTGTATTATCTGAAATCATTATTTAGACTCATTTGTATTGTTGTATATATGACACTAACCCAAGTGAAACATTATCATCACATTTGAGTAAACATGTGCTCTGTCTCCAGTGTTGGCATTAGGGGACTAAACAAATCAGGTACAGCTTCTAGAAACATTACAATTAATTCAAGTCAGTCAGATGTCCCTGCATGTTTGTAATATCTACCTTTAATATTGTAATATTGTAATTGTTAATGATATTTAAATGTAATAATTTATTAATAATGCAATGATATAATAAATTATTCAGCTGGTGGTTTTTAGATTTTAAAAAGTGATGATGTCATGCTCTCAGATGGGGGGCAAAAAAATGGGTTTTTCCTATTGATCACATTGTACCTTGAGAATATCAAAAAGGTAAATTCCCAAATATGGAAACTCATCATTTCTATTACTGACTAGACCACAGCCCATGCTATATTACAACAAGAATCTGCTGTTAAACACTATTCATTTTAGCTGGCCCCATCTGTATTAAATAATATTGGCCTGTAGAATGTTGTAATGTCATCTGAAACTCAGCAATAATTTGTCATATTATTTGATAACTTTTTTCTAGTTATATATATATATATAATATATATATATATATATATATATATATATATATATATATATATATGTGTATATGTATGTATGTATATATGTATATATATATATATTATATATATAATTACTTATTTTGTGATTTATATTACATTTATTATTAGCACAATGACAAGTGATTTTCTCCTCACTGTTGATCAGTTAAGTTACTGTATCTTATATATCAGGTCTTTACTGTCAAAGTGTACCTGTAGAGGAGAAATACACTTTATTTATTAGTATAATTTAAGATTCATGTTTTTAAATAACTATGTAAATTTGTGATTATGACAGCTCAGTTTTGTGAATGACTGGAGTTGTAAGTATAACTACAATTAAATTGAAATCAATGGTTTAACACTCATATTTGTTTAAGTGACTGTTGCCAGTAACTTTGCTGTTAGGCGGGACGGAAAAAACCAATCCAGAAACAATCCAAGATTATATATGCACATAAATCTTCTGCATTACATAAATACTTGAGACATTACTTCTTGGAAACCATCTGTCACAGCCACATTACACCAGACTCAAAACAAATACAACTAGAGTTCACCTCAGTTCAACACACACTTGGATTAGACCTGGTTTAGAAACATAATAATAATAATAGGGCTGGGCAAAAATAAAACTTTTTAATCGCGATTAATCACATGAGTTCGAGTGATTAATCGCAATTAATCGCATGTTATACGCAAAACCAACTAGAAAAGCACTCAGAGAGCGCAGACCTCCGCCAAGGACTACAGTCCCCCTCATATTAATTGTGTTTTCCATAAATATTTGTCTCGTATCTTTCAATTTGGAATATGAAAGAGGATCCAATTGTCCATCCCTGAGTCAAATTTCATGGGGTTTGGTCAATAATTAACCGAGATATTGAGAAACAAAATTTTTGGCCCCATTTACCACAATGTTAACTAAAATTTCAAAGTGATCCAGAATCCAGGATTTCTTCCAGATCACCCCCAAAATGAAATCAGTTCTTCCTTTTCACATTTCCAACAAATCCTGAAAATTTCATCAAAATCGGTCCATAACTTTTTGAGTTATGTTGCTAACAGACAAACAAACAAACAAACAGACAAACGCCGGCAAAAACATAACCTCCTTGGCGGAGGTAAAAATAATAATCATCATCATCATCATTATCCCCTCCCACACACACACACACGCACACACACGCGCACACACACGCGCACACACACGCGCACACACACGCGCACACACACACACACACACACACACCACTTTCATTTTAGGCAATGTGGATGAAGTGTTTTGCCGAGCAACAGTTTTTACCACTGGCTGCCCACTGTGGCACCTGATATTCCCAGCGATCTCCCATCCAAGTACTAACCGGGCCCGTCCTTGCCCATCTGCAGAGACTGACTTTTTCACAACATCCTGATGTGAACTGAGATTCAAGTCACAGTCAGACTAAACCAAATAAAGAGCCACACCGTCCTGTCAGATGGATTTAGACAAAGATATACTGTAAACAAAACAAAATATGTCAGTTAATTTGCAAAATGTTCACTTAAAAATGTTGTAGTTCACATATACTCTTTGTCTAGCAGTGTTTTCAAAAGCCAAATGTATTTTGATGCAGTAAAAATACTGTATATACAGTATGTAAAGTCCTCCTCACCTCATCTGTTGAAGCTCGGGTCCTACCAGGGGCCTGAACACTTGAGGGTACTGCACTTTTCTGAAATGAGATGTCTGTATAGCCCCTCCTCCACACTGGGGGTTAGTCCTCTTATTTCTCACTTTGACTTTGGAGTTTCCATAATTTTTGTGCCTTTGGTCTTGTGGACATGCCAACTAAACTGGGGTCTGGTTCGATCCTGGTTCAGATCTGGTTTAGATTTGGTTTAGACCTGGTTTATTCCTGGTTTACTCTTAAATACTCTATTGTATGTCTCTATCTGTTTGAGTCTTTCCAGATTGACTTGTCATAGTATTAGTCCTGTTTTAGGGTTAGACTTTTTCACCATCTCAATCTCCTGATAAACAAACTAATTATAGCAACAACAAATGCTGTAGACTTAAATAAAAGTACAATGTCTTCAGTAGTTTTCAGACTTCAGATATTATTTGCTCTGAATGCAGGGTGTGCCTGTCATGGGTTTTGATAGCCAAGTTACATTCAAATAAAAAACAAATATGAGCCACACCTTCCACTGAAAGAAACCACCTGTCAGACAGGTTTAGTCTTTTCAGAGAAGTCTGAAACATGAACTGTAAACAAAAAACAATAAAAGCATTTCAGAACTTGTTTGTAGAGATCTAATATTGCCTTAGCTGCTTTTATACCCCATGAGAGTTCAATTGCAAAAAGTGCACTTCAAAAGTCGTTTTAAGTTCACATACACTCTTTGTCTATCAGTGTTTTCAAAAGCTAAATCTATTTAAGCGCAGTAAAAATATTAAAGTTCCTTCTCACCTCATTCATTGAAGCAATAGGACCTACCAGGGGCCTGGGCACTCCTGGTATTGCACTCTTCTGGACTGAGATGTCTGATGTTTTTCTGGGATCTGCTGTGGCGTCCTCCAGTGTTCCAATGACCACAGGCACCACAGATTCCCCACTTTGACCGTGGAGTCCCCAGTCTGTACTCTGCACTGATGTTTCTGTACACTATGTTGTGCTGCTCCATGTTTGTTCTACCCGCCAGCATCTTGCCTTGGTTATCTTGGTTACTTTGGTTACCTCTTATCTTGGTTATGTTCTAGCCTGAACTGTCTCAGGGACCTCTTTACACTTGGTCTTTGTAGATCTTGGCCTCTATTGCCCTGGTGCTCAAGGCCTGATCCTGTGCTGCCAGGGTGAGTCCACTCCACTATATTGTCATATATATTTGTTTTTGCAAATGAACTCTTAAGGAGGACATTACCTAAAACTAATCATGAATGTTTCCATCTGATATAGTTGAACAAATGAGTATCTTTCTCACAACAGTTGATATGTCTCTGGCTGATTCTTCAAATGGCGGCCTCTGGACTCTGGGCTGTGATCCAAAACCCTCAGGGACTCATTATACATTAACTAGAGTCAACAACAATAAAACAGGCTGAGGGAGCACGTTTTCAAAATAACTCCTCATAACTCACACTAGTTCACATTAAAACAGACACGAAAGCTCAGACCTACCATAAACAAACATTAAAACATACAAGCATGATAGATGTGTAAATGTGCACATCTACAGAATTCATACACTTTATTAGAAAATTATATTAAATTATTTGGAGTAAACCAGCTCTACGACAGAACAAAAACAGGTCTAAGGCAGGTCTAAACAAAGATTTAACTATAATTCCAAAGAATGTGACCTTAGCCTTTGTTATTCAGCACCATAGCAATAGTCCAACACTAAGTGACACAAAACAAAACCAAAAGAGAAAATGTCTAACGTGCGTGACCTGAGTAGACCTGGGTAACCTGATTTAGTCCTGGTTTAGACTCATTACACCTTAAATACTCTATTGTATATGTCTCGACCTGTTTGAGTCTTTTTAGATTGACTTGTCATAGTATTAATCCTGGTTCAGGTTTAGACTTTTTCACCATCTCAATCTCCTGATAAACAAATTAATTATAATTTGAATGCCTAATAAAATACTTACATAAACCTAAAATACCTAAATATACGTACTATATCTTTAGTAGTTTCAGGTATTTGCACTGAAATGAGAGTCAAATCGCATTCAAATAATAATCAAACATGAGCCACATCCTCCACTGAACCCAGATACAATCCTGAGTAACCACATGCATTTCAGAAGAGTTCATTTCAAAAAGTGCATGTCAAAGCATGTTGTAAGCTTGCATACACACTTTATCTATTAGTTTTTTCAAAAGCCTAATCTATTTTAGTGCAGTAAAAATATTAAAGTCCCTTCTGTGCCACGAAAAGCACAGATCGACCATAAAGAAACATATCCAGTCATGCTAGATGTGTAAATGTGCACATCTACAGAATTCATAAAGGAATTTGTATTAAATTATTTGGAGTAAACCAGGTCTAAGCCAGGTCTAAACAAAGACTTGGCTATAAGTCCATGAAATGTGACCTTAAACCAAAAAGAGAAAATATCTACAGCGCGTGACCTCAGAGGACCTGGTTTAAACTGGTTTAGTCCTGATCTGACCCCACCCACAGCCAGCTTGTCTCTCCCTCCCTCTTCTTTCTCCTCCCTTTTGCTCTCTCCTCCCTCCCTCCCTCTTCCTCTTCCTCTCTCTCTCTCCACCCACCCTGTCTCTTCTTCCTATGCCCCCTTCACCATCCCTCTCGCTCTTCTTTAAAGACAATTAAAATGGCATAATCTATTCTTATCATAACCTGGCTATCCAATATTTCTGACAGTCTGTACTTGGGCTGTAAAGTTGAAGCCCATTACTTATACTGTATGACAATAGGTTTATGAACAGAACTTAAGACTGTCATACGGCGCCACCTGCTGCTCAGAGGGCTCAAGTACCAACAACAAAGCGTCTATACTTGTGTCTTATCACTCCAAAACACTACTGCATAGTTATTATGTGCATTTCATTTAAGTATAAAATAATTTAAACATTTACAATTGTCATTATTATTGTACATTACCACATTTTTCCTAGAAACTAATCTCATTGCAACAGTTTGAAATCTGCACCATGTTCCAGACACTTAACTCTTGTTTATTGTTGTCATTGTTCATTCTTTGGTTGTATTTTGTTCTAGTGGAGTGTGTTTATCAGTGAACAAAATAAACAAACTAGGAACAAGCTTTGGCATTATGGTGCAACATTAAATAAAGAATAATACGGATGGAAATGTCCTATGCTAATTACTTTCTAGGGAAAGCAGTAACATCTTCATAGGCGGCCCATCCAGCTGAAAAGTTACTTGGTGCACCTCTTTTTTCTGGATATATATATATATATATATATATATATATATATATATATATATATATATATAATTACTTATTTTGTGATTTATATTACATTTATTATTAGCACAATGACAAGTGAACTGTTGATCAAGTGATATATCAGGTATTTACTGTCAAAGTGTACCTGTAGAGGAGAAATACACTTTATTTATTAGTATAAATTAAGATTCATGTTTTTAAATAACTATGTAAATGTGTGATTATGACAGCTCAGTTTTGTGAATGACTGGAGTTGTAAGTATAACTACAATTAAATTGAAATCAATGGTTTAACACTCATATTTGTTTAAGTGACTGTTGCCAGTAACTTTGCTGTTAGGCGGGACGGAAAAACCAATCCAGAAACAATCCAAGATTATATATGCACGTATATCTTCTGCTTTACATAAATACTTGAGACATTACTTCTTGGAAACCATCTGTCACAGCCACATTACACCAGACTCAAAACAAATACAACTAGAGTTCACCTCAGTTCAACACACACTTGGATTAGACCTGGTTTAGAAACATAATAATAATAATAGGGCTGGGCAAAAATAAAACTTTTTAATCGCGATTAATCACATGAGTTTGAGTGATTAATCGCAATTAATCGCATGTTATACGCAAAACCAACTAGAAAAGCACTCAGAGAGCGCAGACCTCCGCCAAGGACTACAGTCCCCCTCATATTAATTGTGTTTTCCATAAATATTTGTCTCTCGTATCTTTCAATTTGGAATATGAAAGAGGATCCAATTGTCCATCCCTGAGTCAAATTTCATGGGGTTTGGTCAATAATTAATCGAGATATTGAGAAACAAAATTTTTGGCCCCATTTACCACAATGTTAACTAAAATTTCAAAGTGATCCAGAATCCAGGATTTCTTCCGGATCACCCCCAAAATGAAATCAGTTCTTACTTTTCACATTTCCAACAAATCCTGAAAATTTCATCAAAATCGGTCCATAACTTTTTGAGTTATGTTGCTAACAGACAAACAAACAAACAAACAAACAGACAAACGCCGGCAAAAACATAACCTCCTTGGCGGAGGTAAAAATAATAATCATCATCATCATCATTATCCCCTCCCACACACACGCACACACGCACACGCACACACACACACGCGCACACACACACGCGCACACACACACGCCACACACACACACCACTTTCATTTTAGGCAATGTGGATGAAGTGTTTTGCCAAGCAACAGTTTTTACCACTGGCTGCCCACTGTGGCACCTGATATTCCCAGCGATCTCCCATCCAAGTACTAACCGGGCCCGTCCTTGCCCATCTGCAGAGACTGACTTTTTCACAACATCCTGATGTGAACTGCGATTTCAAGTCACAGTCAGACTAAACCAAATAAAGAGCCACACCGTCCTGTCAGACGGATTTAGACCAAGATATACTGTAAACAAAACAAAATATGTCAGTTAATTTGCAAAATGTTCACTTAAAAATGTTGTAGTTCACATATAGTCTTTGTCTAGCAGTGTTTTCAAAAGCCAAATGTATTTTGATGCAGTAAAAAATACTGTATATACAGTATGTAAAGTCCTCCTCACCTCATCTGTTGAAGCTCGGGTCCTACCAGGGGCCTGAACACTTGAGGGTACTGCACTTTTCTGAAATGAGATGTCTGTATAGCCCCTCCTCCACACTGGGGGTTAGTCCTCTTATTTCTCACTTTGACTTTGGAGTTTCCATAATTTTGTGCCTTTGGTCTTGTGGACATGCCAACTAAACTGGGGTCTGGTTCGATCCTGGTTCAGATCTGGTTTAGATTTGGTTTAGACCTGGTTTATTCCTGGTTTACTCTTAAATACTCTATTGTATATGTCTCTATCTGTTTGAGTCTTTCCAGATTGACTTGTCATAGTATTAGTCCTGTTTTAGGGTTAGACTTTTTCACCATCTCAATCTCCTGATAAACAAACTAATTATAGCAACAACAAATGCTGTAGACTTAAATAAAAGTACAATGTCTTCAGTAGTTTTCAGACTTCAGATATTATTTGCTCTGAATGCAGGGTGTGCCTGTCATGGGTTTTTGATTAGCCAAGTTACATTCAAATAAAAAACAAATATGAGCCACACCTTCCACTGAAAGAAACCACCTGTCAGACAGGTTTAGTCTTTTCAGAGAAGTCTGAAACATGAACTGTAAACAAAAAACAATAAAAGCATTTCAGAACTTGTTTGTAGAGATCTAATATTGCCTTAGCTGCTTTTATACCCCATGAGAGTTCAATTGCAAAAAGTGCACTTCAAAAGTCGTTTTAAGTTCACATACACTCTTTGTCTATCAGTGTTTTTCAAAAGCTAAATCTATTTTAAGCGCAGTAAAAATATTAAAGTTTCCTTCTCACCTCATTCATTGAAGCAATAGGACCTACCAGGGGCCTGGGCACTCCTGGTATTGCACTCTTCTGGACTGAGATGTCTGATGTTTTTTTTCTGCTGTGGGATCTGCTGCACTCCTCCTCCAGTGTTCCAATGACCACAGGCACCACAGATTCCCCACTTTGACCGTGGAGTCCCCAGTCTGTACTCTGCACTGATGTTTCTGTACACTATGTTGTGCTGCTCCATGTTGTTCTACCTGCCAGCATCTTGCCTTGGTTATCTTGGTTTACTTTGGTTACCTCTTATCTTGGTTATGTTCTAGCCTGAACTGTCTCAGGGACCTCTTTACACTTGGTCTTTGGGCCTCTATTGCCCTGGTGCTCAAGGCTGATCCTGTGCTGCCAGGGTGAGTCCACTCCACTATATTTTCATATATATATATTTGTTTTTTGCAAATGAACTCTTAAGGAGGACATTACCTAAAACTAATCATGAATGTTTCCATCTGATATAGTTGAACAAATGAGTATCTTTCTCACAACAGTTGATATGTCTCTGGCTGATTCTTTCAAATGGCGGCCTCTGGACTCTGGGCTGTGATCCAAAACCCTCAGGACTCATTATACATTAACTAGAGTCAACAACAATAAAACAGGCTGAGGAGCACGTTTTCAAAATAAATCCTCATAACTCACACTAGTTCACATTAAAAACAGACACGAAAGCTCAGACCTACCATAAACAAACATTAAAACATTACAAGCATGGATGTGAAATGGCACATCTACAGAATTTCATACACTTTATTAGAAAAAATTATATTAAATTATTTGGAGTAAACCAGCTCTACGACAGAACAAAAAACAGGTCTAAGGCAGGTCTAAACAAAGATTTAACTATAATTCCAAAGAATGTGACCTTAGCCTTTGTTATTCAGCACCATAGCAATAGCCAACACTAAGAGACACAAAACAAAACCAAAAGAAAAATGTCTAACGTGCGTGACCTGAGTAGACCTCGGTAACCTGATTTACTCNATGAGTCTGTCTCTGACCCAACCAACCTGAAGTGAAGGAGGTGATGCTCTTTCCCTTCCTGATCCTGCAGAGTCCAACTTTAGATCATGAACTGTGGTGCCCCCTGGAGACGAACATGGCAGCTCAACCACTCCAGACTGATTCACAAACAGCTCATCTTCAACAGAGTCAAAGTTTACACTGTTAATCTCACTGAATCTCAGCAGAAGGAAATATGAACATAAATTTAAACTTTTTAACAATATTAACTGACACTTAAATTAAACTATCAAATTATAATGACTTTTATTGTTTTCAAAGCCATAACTCAATAAAACAAATGAGATAATGAAATAATTCCACAAACTCTCACCTGCTTCTGTCACTGTCACATTCATTTCATGGGAGATTTTCTTTTTTTCATGTGAAGAAATTTTAGCCTCACACGTGTACATCCCACTGTCCATCGAGGTAATGTTCTTCAGGATCACGCTGAGATCTCCAGACTTTAAATGTGAATCTTTGAGCTTCCACTCGTTTTGAGAAAATATGGGTTTTTGCTCATTATATCGCACTTTGCCGTCTCTGTACAAAAGGACATATCTGTCTTTACCCTTCAGTTTCCATTCAAGGATCACAACTTCACCTTCAGGGGCCTGGCAGGGAAGTTCCAGTTTAAATGGGGAGCTATAATTTTCTCTGGCACTAAAACAGACAAAGGTAACATTTAATTGTTAATGACAGCCTTTGTGCAATTGGAGTGCAAATAGTTTCAACTAATACTGTATATGTATATATATACTATATATGTATATATATATATATATATATATATATATATATATATATATATA